AAATGTGTATTAATGCTTTCCGTATCAGTGAACAGATCATATTTCTTCTTGGCCTGTTTTGGTTGGTGTGTAGAGGTAAGATTTCTGTTGCATGTAATTTATATAGAGATATTCTAGAACCATACAAAATAATGGATTTTCAACATTTTCTGCTTCTTACTTCGGACGAAAGTCTGTCTTTGGTTAATCAGTTTTGATGAAACCAGCTCTGATATATGAATGTGAGCTACATGCATGAATGAAAATGACCAACTTATGTTGACTGAATTGTCATACTGTAGGTTATTGCCTTATTTCAACAGATCAGATATCTTGACATAAAAATGCTTTGTTCATTCATATACTGTTAAAGTCATGGTTGGTTTTGAAATAAATTTTGTTGCTGTATGTGCCTTAGAGCCAGAGTGGGCATTCTGACTGAAGAGGAAAGACCCTGTTCCTGCCAGGTATTGAAGCCAGGAAAGTTCGTTGTATCTGTGAAATGGTCCTCTTGCAGGGAACTCTTCCACGAGACTACCTGGAAGTCACGGAACATCACCTGTCTGAATTAATGTTTTCCAATGCGCGTCAGATGGTTGCACAGTACAACAAGAAACGAGAGCTGACCGAGGCTGGAAGTTTATCATGGATATATAAAGAATTCTCAGTTCTGAACAGAAGCAAAGAGACCAAACTTACTGATCAAATCCGTTCTCACATTAGAGCTAAAAGATACACTGAATCCGTAAGTACGTTTTTGTCATTTTTATGTGTCTAGAAATACAAAATATTTCCTACTGAAAATTTTACAGTAATGCCTCAGAATAAATGTTAAAATATTTTCCATAGAACATGTTTCTCTGTGTCATAACTTTGGAATAATTCTCTTTCTTTCTTGTGTATTTGCATAAAATAGTTATAAGATGTGTCTGAGTGTTACATATTTGTAGTTCATCCCATAATTTTAATGTGCCTTGTATCTGCAAAAATGAGGTTATGATATTCCTTGCATAATAAAGATACTGGGCTCTAAAAATTAGGCTGTATACTTCAAAGTCTTTGCTCTTCTGATTCCCATCTCATGTTCATGTGATGAATTATATTTTCCAAGTGTAGCTGTGATGATGTAACCATCACACCTTTAGTAGAGAAAATTCTGCTGCTTAATTCCAGAAGACTGAATAATGACACTATAACTATTATATTTTTTGGTATTATATTTAAGTAAAGTAAAGCTATCCCTGTAACAGGCCATGAAGGTCCATAGGGTCGTGAGATGCTGAGGGTCCCACATTATCTAGACAGTTGGCTCAAAGATGGCGGTAAGGTTGTCAGCCTTATGTGCTAGCCGCGCTTTACTCCCCAAGAAAATTATTTAACTAATTCCTGGTACTCATTTCTGTTAGAGGCTGAGTCGACCCCAGGGCCATAGTGCGGCTGGAAGGATTAGGTCAATTGAAAAAATCCAGTTACCTCATTGGGGCTTGAACCCGCGACCTTCCGGCTTGTAGCATTGTAGGTTACTTTATATTAAAGTTTAAAAAATTAGAGTTTTGCTTTAGGTTGTATTTACTGATGAATTATAATTAGCAACCGACCATCACATGAAAAGCTAAGCCCCATTCAGGATTGCTACTTACTGCAATGATTCCACATTTCTGTGGGTTTTCTCACACCTAAGCCTCTGTGTATCTCTGCCATCCCAAAACTCCTCATAATTTTCCTTCCATAGTCTTCCTTTCTTCTGTGTGACATTGTTCTTAATCTGTTGTACCGATCTTGTTCTTTATTTTGGTAATTTTCCTCTTATTTTCATGTTATGATTCTTTATTCATTCACAAAATTTGTCTTAACCATCTTAGTCTGTAATTTATTAATCTATCTTTCAGGTCTACAATTTCTAGTTTCTCATGCAGGTAGCACATATGACAA